ATACAGGGTTGCAACAGAAGTTTGGGGTGTGGGGGTACTTTTTTTTTTTAAAAAAAAAAAAAGGCAGCTCTAATTTTAGGATATACCCTTGTTACAAGGTCATTGATTATATTCATAGCTGACTGATGACATTTCTTTGTGACTCAGCTGCTTTAGGAGACAGGTACTGGTCATGGTAGGCTACTGAGCTGGTCCAGATTGTCTTCTACATTAGAAGACTTGAGAGTTTTGGACCCTGTTTGGGCAACAAAAGACTAGAGCTACACCACCTAATGTCTGTGAGATCAATGATGGAGTATCTCTGAGAAAGGCATGACTTGATCCTGGGACTGGGGCTAGAAGAGGATGTTGTTGCATATCCTTCCCAGTAAACCCTGTTAGTAGATTGACATGGAGATCTACACATTCACTGGAGGGACACAGGGACAGCACTAGTGTTTACAGCTGATGTCTGCTTACCAGAGCTCTCTGGCTGATGTTTCCCTTTGCCATAAGCCAAACTCCCCACAAACCCATGGGAGCAAATGGCTACATGCAGACCTATTGAAATGCTGTTTGCCTCACTTACTTTCACTGCTCAGTGATTGCATCTTCCAGTTTGTGAGGTAGCTGTTGCCCTCATTTTCTTACTGAGCAGGCTTCTATAGCACTGTGCCATTAAATGTTTGCTCTGTGAAGCTGGATCAGGGCTTGCAGTTTAGTTATGCCAGCAAAAATTCTGTTCTTGTTTTACCCTGGACAGTCACAGACAGCCTTGCTCTCCAAAGCCTGTGTTGGTGTGGAAGACCTAAGAGGGTATTTTGTCTATTAAGAGCTAGAATATTTGTCTTGTATTTGTTTAAGTAACACGACTAATTGGATTGTTATTCATACTCTTCTCTCTTTATCCTGCTTGCTTCTTGCCTTTTGAATTCATGTCTCAGTGCATGATGGGAAAGGTATTAGGTTTACCGCTAATGAGGACGTTCTTCCTGATAAGGGTACGTTCAAGACTAATGTTGTTACCATAACAACATTAGCCAACCGCCGTGCTTCTGAAGTCATCTTGCCCATGCTCAGAAACCTTTTCCATAGACCTGTTCCCTGTAGCTCCCTGCAGAAGTGAACTTCCACCAAACGCTTGCATCCCACAGGCAGAGCTGCGCCTTGCACGGTTTATGAGTCTGTGCCTTCCCCCAGGAGCCTGTCCCTGAGCTTTAGATTTATTCATGAGATGTGAAAGCTGTCTCAAAAGTGGACTGTTTTTTGAGAGATGCTACAGGCTTGTTCCCCTACCCTCTACCATGGGCTGTGTATTGTTCTTTCAAGCCCTAGACTTGCATGTGTATGGCCTTCTGAGATGGGATACTGTAATACATGGTAATGTCTGATGTGCACTCAAGGTTATGGCTAAGCTTGAACCATCTGGCTTGAAAATGGGTAGCTAAAAGTCTAGGTACTTGGGAGAGCCTTAAAAAATCAAGTCTTGTTTATATTTTGTCTCTCCAGTCCAAAGTCTTTTTTGTTCTCTTAGGTGAAACACATCTGTGACCCATTGCACGAGCTCAGTTCTGCAGTTTCACCTTCCAGCATCACAATACCAATGAGAGTTTCATGTCAAGACTTGAATCTGCTTGCCACTAGATGTGCAAGCATATGTTTGCATACAGCTGTACGTGCTCAGAATATTTTTCACTGGCCATCTACAAAGCTTGTTTTTTCTCTGAACGTTTAAATTACCTTTGCGGAGACAAAATTTGTTCTACTAATGGGCTGATACCACTGTCATTCCTCTGAAACATCAGTATCTCTTTTATAATGTATTAATTACACTAAAGAGTAGTAAAATGAAGACCTAAGTGTTTGGTAGCTGACATTTCTGCAGGTGTGGCCTTTTGTTATACAGTGATAGTAACCTTGTCTGTTCCCATGGAAAATGCCAACAATTAACAGACCTGCACCATCAGATGGGTCAGGTCAGTAATTAAGCCTACCAGTTTTAAAGTGCTTATATACAAATGAGAAGGAACATTGCCCTTCTAAGCAGGGAGAAAACAGTACATTCAAGACCATGTACAAATGTTACAGCCTAGAGGCTGTTTGTTGTACTCAGGTCAAGAATGAGCATCTACCATGAGATAATAATTTGAGGTCCTGTTTTGTTTGCTCAGATACTTTTACTTGTATATTAATGTGCCTTTCACTGCCTACAGTTCTGTGCCATGTAATTCTCTTCAGAGAATTGCACAGATTAGCTCTCAACCTCTTGGTTTTTAAATTAGTGTTTTTGCTGTATGCAGACTGCTCTTGTGAAAGTTGACGTGTTAGATCTAGCTAATCAAAATGTTTGCTTAATGATATCCTTCAAGGTCCTTATCTTGAATTTCAAACGCACCAGTTCTTTCACTTAGCAATGTGTCTTAGCCTCAGAATTGACAAAATAACACTGCTGTTTGTAGGTACTCTGTTATCCTGCAGGTATCCCAGTTACAACAGCATGCCTAATTCTCAACCTGAGGTCGGACAGTTGTCAAAGAAAAATTGAGTCAATTACACTATCAAAGACTTGATTTTGCAGAGCAGTCTTCTGTAATTTACATGACATCTTAACTTTCCTATGCAGAAAAAAATTTCATTTCCACATATTGCACAGTAATTATGATTAATAGTTAAAAAGTTGAAAACATTATAATACACAAATTTTAAGGTTCATGACATTCTTCTCCCTGTGTTGCATATTGTCTTTTCCCCTCTGAAGCTTCATCTTATTTCCTCCCTGGCTAATTGATGAAGGGAAATAAGCATTCAAGTTGTGAGTGCTTCTCTCTCATCAATTTTGGTGTACAACAGTGAAGAGATTCTCATTATCCTCCAAGGGGAAGCAGATAAGCAGTCAGGATGACAACTTTTATCTTACATACAACATGGAAAAAGGTTCTTGGAGGGTGAGACTGCACTATGGCTCTGTGCAAATCACTAACAGCTTTCTTTTTTCCCCTAAGCTTCCTCCTGTTGTGTTTTTTTTGTTGTTGTTGTTTTGTTTAGTTTTTTTGTCCTTAGGAATGCCAGTACCCACCACTGGAATGCGTGCATGTACACACCATAGCTTGGCAGGAGAGATCTCTGTGAGGGGCCGTTTTTTAAATTCTTTAAAAATTCTTACTAGTATTCCCAACAGGATGCGACCTTTATGGCGGAGTAGAAAAGGAGTTGGTGTTTATGTGTGTTGGGCATGCCAGTGTGATGTTACCTGCACTGACCTGGCACTGTCAGTGTTGATTGAGAAGCTGCCTGCAGAAGGGGTGCCGTGACAAAGCTCTGCTGTCTGGCTGAGGCCATGACCAGCAACGGGTGCCAGTGATCAATAATCCACATGTGCATGGGGGGGTGTGTCAATTTTTCTTCCAACAGGCTCTGGTGTGGACGATCCTGTGGGTGAAGTGTCCATACAGATCGACCTGTACACCCACCCAGGAACTGGTGAACACAAGGTCACGGTGAAAGGTATGGCAAAGCATGTGTTACTGCTTGCGCTCTGGGACTGTGTCGAGGCAGGTCCCCAGCTGGCAGTCATTATATTTCGATGCTAGCTCATGGGATGTGAATCCAGAATTCTTTCCTCTGTTTCACATCAGGAACATGTAGAGAAACAGCAAATGAGCTTGCCCAGACAGTGACAGGGCGATGTACAGTCCTGTTGTTTATTGGCAATGGTACATGAAGCAAACAAAAATCAGATGATGGCTCTCAGCAGGCGCCAGAGTTCAGCCTGTGCTGCAGAGAGCAGGGCAGCACGACAGGATGACGTTGCGAAATCACCCAGTGTAAACAGAGAGATCCTGCAGCCAGGGAGAGTTCACAGGCTGCTCTCCCCCCTCCAGGCGGCCATGCTGGCCCCTGAAGAGCTGCTCTCAAAATAACCAAAGCAGTGATTCATCCCAGGCTTCCTCTTCCTCCTTCGTCTCCTTTGCTTGTATACAGCATATTTAACTACTTTAATTTCCTCCAAAGATTTATATAAACAGCTCTTCAGGCCTCTCTTCTGGCCAAATCTACACTGCAATGCAAAAACTCATTTTCAGAGCTATTTCCTGTGCTTCAGTCTGTTCCCTGCAGTGACCTGAGAGAGAAGAGGATTAAAGAGCTAATAATTCTGGGTTCTGGAACTACCCAGACCTCATGGGCTTTGTTTATCTTACCTGAAGTCTCATTTTCCTTTTCAACAGAGACCTTAATATCAGCCCCCAAAATGTCCCTTTTTTTTACCCATCTCATATGTAATGTAGATGTAAGCACTGAACTGGCAGGGCAGCCTGCCCATAGCTGCAGGAATACCTGTTTTTTTTTCTTTTTACTAATTTTTTGACTATGCATATGGCAAAAGCGAAGTGCTGTCCCAAGAATTTAATTCCCTTCACAGAACTTATACTAGAGTAAAAAACCTTAACTTTGTATTACAAAAAAAGTTTTCCCTGTGGGTGTCAGGACACTGTTTTGTGAGCTGGACTTTTTGCTGTGAAGCAGGAACCTGGAAACAGAGCAGAGTTTAGAGGTGTCCAGAGCAATGGCAGTAAATGAGTGTTTCCTGTAAAATGGGTTGTGACTCTCTTTTCCAGTTGTGGCAGCCAACGACCTGAAGTGGCAGACATCTGGCATGTTCCGTCCATTTGTTGAAATCACCATGATTGGGCCCCATCAGAGTGACAAGAAGAGGAAGTTCACAACCAAGTCAAAGAGCAACAACTGGTCTCCCAAATACAATGAAACCTTTCACTTGTAAGTGTGAAAAGCAGCCTGGGGATCTGATGTGGCAAGTGCAGATTAGAGGACAGACAGGGCTCTCCACAAACAGCCTGCTCAGGGCCCCAAAGAGTATGTGAACCAGCAGCTTGGCCCAGTCTTTAGTGTCTTGGCAGGAAAAGCTGGCTTATGGGAGTTTTTACTGTGGGTGGGACACTGAGGTCTGTTATGTACCAGCAGTGTCCTTTGGCTACCTCCTGAAATCCATTCTGTGTCCTGTGAACATATTTTACTGTGCTCCATCATTTTAAAGAACTTTGTGTCTTTTACTGGTAGAGCTGAGGCTAAAAGTTCATTATGTGTTTTTAGTACTTTTAATCTTAATGTGTGTTTTTATCCCAACTTGACCAGTGGGACATGCTCTGTGAACTTTATTTCCAAGGATACAGCCCTTGGAACTGGTAGTAAGTTGCACTGTTAAAATGGCAGTCTTCTTAACACCCAATATTGATCTCTTCTTATTTGGTTTTTGTCACTACAAAGGCATCTTCCTTTTTGTAAGGCTCAACGAAGGGAGATACAGACTAGTGCTCACCCAGCTGTACATAGAGTGAGAGATGACCAGCAAAAGGGTGTAATCATCCTGGGGTGAAAGGGACTGCGCATAAAATTTTTCTTTGATGTGGCAAGCTTCTTCTAAGTGAAGAGCTTTTGTCCCTTTTAAATTTATTTTTTTTTAAGTTTAGAAATATTAGAAAGGCTTGAGTTGTACTTGTATTGGATTTTGCTTTAATGGAAGGTTCTGAATCTTTAACAAAGACATCATCTAATTAAAATATTAATTACTGAAAGGAAGCAACCCTTAACAGAAGGAGAAATGTCTAAAGTCATCTGAGTTGAAATCTATTAGCATGGCTTTAATGTTCTCCGCTCCTCACATTTCACAGTTTAACACACACACAAGCCTGATAAGGCTTGTTCAGTTTTTCTTTGTAAATAGCCAGATTGTCCTTTTCACCTATAAATCAGAGAAAACGCCATAGGTTTTACTTCCCCCTCTTTGACCAGGGTTTTCTGCAGAAAGGACTTTTCTGTGGCTCGTCAGAGCACTCTGGTCAGCTGCCAACACCTTTATTTTGGAGAGGAATTTATACATTCTGAGAAGCTGTCACTAAACTTGCCTGTTTTTCAGCATACTGGGGAACGAAGACGGCCCCGATGCCTACGAGCTCCAGGTCTGCGTGAAGGATTACTGCTTTGCTCGGGAGGACCGAGTGCTGGGGATCGCAGTGATGCAGCTCAGAGACATAGCAGACAAAGGGAGCTGTGCTTGCTGGTGCCCCCTGGGGCGCAGGGTTCACATGGATGAGACTGGGCTTACAGTCCTGAGGATTCTCTCTCAAAGAACCAATGACGAAGTTGCCAGAGAATTTGTGAAGTTGAAATCTGAGTCCCGCTCCACAGAGGAAGGCACCTGAGCTGAGCTACGTCTTGTTCCCTTTTCTCTTCTGCCTTGTGCCAATATGTGCAAGTGTTCAACGATTCTCTTATCAATTACGGAAGTTTTTTTTTCATGTTTGTCTTTGTCAGCTCCAATAGCGCACGTGTGGTGTACAGGAAACAAATCCATCAACCTGATGTGAACTATTTATTTTTCAGTAGCTGGGTAAGACACCATAGAGAATGAGACAATCTCTTCTTATTTAAGATGCAAATTCTGCTTTATGTATATAAATTATTTTATATTGGAGGCTGGGTATGCTGGGTTTTGTTGATACGCAGCACTGTGATTTTATCCTCTGAAGCTGGCAGACATTAAAGAGGTTCTACATAATCATGCTACGATAGAAACACGCAACTGTGTGGAAACTGGGAGAAGAATAGTGGTTTGGGGTTTTGGCAAAGCACAGTTCTCTCTCATTGAATTTGTGTACTGCGGAGCTTCCAGGGGATATTCAGCACAGATTACACCAGTGTCCCAATGTGATACGCAGACGCCTCAATGTCTGCTTAAAGTAGTTGCAAACTGCTCTGTGGGTGCACACCAAATGAATGGATGGGTGTGGCTGGGCTGCTGTACGTGTGGGTAAGAGTAGTGGGACCAGTGCAGAGGGGCCTCCCAGATCTCATAGCCAAAAGCTGTGAAGGCAGCAGTCCAGGAGCAGGCTGCAGCTGCCCTGTCATTGTAATTAGGTGGTGTGTCTCGGAGCATATAAATGCCCACGTGCTGCTGGGAATCCTGCATCACCACGGGGGTGCTGTGAGCTGCTGAACTCTGCCAGTCACGCTTTGGCTGCTGTGACCAACACAGTAAGGAAGGGATCAACATTAAAGCCATGACAAATAACATGGCTGCTATGTACTTTTTCCACTTCACTATCCTTTTGTTATTTTTTTTTTTGACATAGAATTGGATAATTTAATACTTGCAGGCTTTCTGTAGCATTTTGTTACCCTGGAGTAGCTGAGACCATTTCTCACTATGAACCCAGAAATGATGGCTTGCCGGGGAGGGAGCAGCACATCTCCCCTCTGCAAGCACTCGGTCTGGAGTGCTGGCCAAAGGGCAGCAGGTCCATTTGCTTCTGACCTTGAAGTCGCTGTTGGCTGTGCTGCAGTTGATCCATGCTGATCGTCATTAATCTGTGATTTAATGATACCATTGAAAATATTTTTGCACTGTCTTAAAGAAGCACCCTAGTTTTGTTTTCTTGCAAAACAAAACACTGTCCTGAGCAAAGTGACTGCAGGGAGGTCAGAGTTTCTGACTGAAAATTCATAAGCAGGAAGGTCTGGAGTAGTAATTGCTCCTGAGATATGTTTCTTGGAGAGTCTTTATTGTTTTGGGGATATTTTTGCTATTTCCAGCTGCTCTTGTGCTCTGGAAAGTGCAGCTGGAACAAGCCAGTCCTTGCCCATAAAGTACTGTAATACTGTCAATAAATTCAAGGACTGCATATTGAATGACCTTTTTTTTTTTTCTATTCTGACACTTTTACAGCTGTATGATACAATTCCTGTATTTCATGAGCCTGCTTGTAGAGTTCTGAGACAGCACATCTGCTTTGTTCTTGTGCATGGTGTACTAGAATAATGCTTGTCAAAACTCCACGCTATTTGTCAAGATTTTGAATCATTGTACGTGCCATTGTTATGAGAACTGTTAGTACAGTCTTTAATAAACTCTTCTAGCAGCATTTGAAGTCGTGTGTTGAAGGGTAACTGTAATTGGGTTTGCTAAATCCCATAGGGTGTAATCACTTCTGCATCTTCACAAATTACTCTCATTTAGTACATAGGTATTTCTTTGGTGCTGTAGATAACCAGGGAGAGGTATGAGTCAGACAAACCCCCTCCTCCATGGTCCCTCCAACTCTGACATCTTTCCTTGAAGTTTGTGGCTTCTGATAACACACTGAGACATCACAGAAAAGCACAGAGAGTAACTTCCTTTTCTTCTCCTACCTGCCCTTGCAGTCGTGTCCTTTGTATTCAGCTAGCTTCCTAAAGGTGCTGAACTGAAAGACTCAGACAATCAGTGGATACTTCACAGATAACACGTGTAGAAAAGTAATTATGCTCCAAACTCAATTCATAACTTTCAGTCTGATAGGAGCACTAATACTCCGTAGATAGTATTGACAAGAGATTAGAGAATAAACCTTCTCGATGTCAGGTAAACTACTTCCTCTTCCTGTTTTTGGAGATGCCACCCATTTCCAGAGGACAAGCTCAAATAACTCAGACTCATATTTCGTGATAATGCAGGTCTCTAATTTTTGTGATGGGAGATGTCATTTTTTCCTTGGGTAATACATGTTCAGCACTGTGAGTAACTCGGTTAATTCGCAGTCCAGCTTACAGCTGTATTTCTGTTTCTGGCTTCATCATGTGGAACTTACTGAGTTCAGTGGTGTATCCCATGCCATGTGCTGTTTCAAGCACAGCTTTAAAGCCCCTCCTCAGTACCAAGCTGCTGTTACACAGGTTTGTAACTCATCAGTATGTTTCCTTGTTGCTTCAGCGAGCACTGCAGTGGAGATAAACCGATGAAGAGCTATTTGAAGGAAAAGCACTGTCTGTGACTATGGGGAAGAAGTCCCTGGGCATGGAAAGAGGTCTGGCTGTTATTAACTGAGCCAGGAATCCCAGGCTCCTGAATATATTGCTTATCTGCCAGTCTAGTGCTTCTCCTGCAAACCAAGTCTGTGAACTTTTTAATCATGCAATCCATTTCCATAAGTGTTGCTTTGTAACATGTTTGTCTAAAACCAGCTGCCCATCTTGCCTCATTTCTTGGGCTTGCATTCATTGTGGCGCTTTCAGATTTTCTTTCCTGTCTGAGAAACCTTGGAGACTCAAGATACAACCACTAGGGCGTTTTCTTGTACCTGTGGTAACGATACTGTCTTGTGCACATGGCACATTTCACTCTATCTGGACGCTCCTCAAAATGACAGCTAGATATCAGATGTACACTGAGTGTATCTTCTATATGCACTTATCACAGAATCCTAGAATGTTTGGGGTTGGAAAGAACCTTTAAAGGTCATCTAGTCCAAATCCCCCTGCAGTAAGCAGGGACATCTTCAACCAGAGCAGGTTGCTCAGAGCCCCACCCAACCTGACCTAGAAGGTTTTCAGGGATGGGGCATCGACCACCTCCCTGGGCAACCTGGGCCAGGGTCTCAAAAATTTCTTCCTTCTATCTAGTCTAACTCTACACACTTGGGGGCAGCCTGTGCCAGTGTTTCACCACCCTGATGGGGAAAAAAAAATTATATTTATTCTAAATCCACCCTCTTTTAATGATTTAAAACCATTACCCCTTGTCCTATCATAGCAGGCCCTATTAAAAAGTCTGTCCCCACCTTTCTGATAGAACTCGAGAAATATTTATAACAAATTAATAAATACATTTATAAAACGTGTATTCTATCTGTATGCTGAGAAATGTGGTGTGGAAACAGCTGTCCTGAGTTGGAAAAGGCTGTTCCAAGAACAATCATGGCAAAGGTGGCAAACAGCAAGGAGTGGTAAGTTGTCCACTGTCCCATCCAGAAGTCATCTGCAGAGTGGAGTGACTTTCAAGGTGGGACAAGAGGGAAGTGAGAGATGAGCTGAAGGCTGGATGCTGGAGGGGAATTCTGATGATGGTCTTACTGCGCTTGCCTGGGGCCTTTCTGCAAGGTCTGTAGGAAGAGTAGGATACTTTCAGGCCAAGAGTCCACCTTGTGCAAATCTTGCCTCAAAGAGTGGTAACAAGTGGTTACGAGTGTCCAGAGAAGAGTATGAACACAGTAAACTAACGATGCTTCCTTATGATGCACTTTATGGTACTCGTAATTTTAACTCAGGGGATGTTCATGACTCCATGATTTCTGTTCAGGAAGTCCAAATCTATCCTCCTGTCCTGCCTTGATCCCCTGAAAAGGAGTTCTGCAGGTTTACAAGGTGTTGCATGAAGACCTATCTCTTGTTTTGAACCTGATTCCTACTAACTGAGTTGGATGTCCTCCATTCTTTTGTTCAGACAGGTGCTAGTCCTATTCACCCTTTCCTGGGTGGTGGAGATACTGTAGATCTCTATCATATCCCATGCTAGACGTTGCTCTTTGAGGCTGCAGTGTCCCAGTTTACTCAGTTACCCCAGCCCTTTGATAAACTTTAGTCTTCTTTGAACCTTTTCCCTTAATATGGATAATTTCTGAGCTCTGGGGACCAGGAATGTGGGGATCAGAAATCGGAGGACCCAGAACAGCATCCAGCATTCAAGATGTGGACCAGCTTCCAGGAGGAAGCTTTTTTGAAGGTACCAGTTTGCTCCTAATCTTAACAGCAGTAGTAGATAAAGGAACACACCCAGGGTGCCAGTAGGAGGTACTGGCAGGCTGCTGGGAGGGGAGGGGTCAGATACACTGCCAGACCTCTGAGGTGACAGGGAGATGTTGTCTAGGAACCCAAAAGGGGAAGTTCAAAAGGTTGTTGCAATTTAAAGTCACAGCACTACTTAGAGCAAACCTGAGAGAGAAGCCACCTGGCTGAGATTTGGTGGGAAAGTAGAGAGCTCTTAAAAGTCCTTTTATTTCTAGTCTTCATTTGAAAAGATGAGGTAATTTTCTAAGAATAGAGAGAAAGCAAGCGAGTCTGGCTTTTGAACTTAACAGACTTTTTAGTCTTTGGAAAATTCCTTCCTAAAGCTGTGGCCACCTCGGTGCTGTGACACTGTCAGAAAAAAAGAGTTGGGGGAGTGGAGTAGCAGGGCCAGAAGGTCTGGCATGTGCTTGTGAGCACGTCATGGCAGTAAAAGGGCCTTACAGGAAAGGACTTCGTGTTTCTGGGTGTGTGAAGGGAGAGAGCAGAGACCCAAGGGCAGAGGTGGGGAGGGCGGTTTTCCTGGAAGAGATTAGGGAAGGTTTGGGGAGTGGCTAGGACAGACTGAGGGGGCAACTGGCAATTCAGGCATGGGATTCAGTTTCCCTGTTTCTGGGCAGCAGCGGGGCGGGAAGAGGCAGCAGAGGAAGTTGGGTTGCTTGTGAGATTTTCTCAAGACACGTCATCTTTCTCCTTTTCTCCTCTTACACTCTCACTTCCTCCCTTCTGGAAAAACCCTGGCTATAGCCCTGTGAACAATACTTCTGGTAGTATTCCTTAGTGCCTGATGGGACACACACTGAGTCTGAGACATTTCTGGGGGTTGTGGTGTAATCTACCAAACTCCTCTTTTAAACCAGGAGTCCAGGCAGTGGAGGATTTGTTTTCAGGACCTCAGTTCTCTGATACTTAAAACTGTCTTTTCATTTGCTGCCTATGATTTATGGCCTATCTAGAAACACTTGTTCTTGCACCGTGGTGTTGCTTATCATGGTCAAGTCTCTTTAGTACCTCCTGATGATGTTGCCCTCTCCACTAAACTTT